AAATATTCTCTAGCTATATGATTCGAATAGAAAAAAAATATATAAATGGGCGTGACAAGTCAACATGATACCCCATTAATATTTTTTTCGATACAGTCCTATTGTAAGGATAAAACATACTATTGTCCGGGCCATATGAGAGAGGATCCAGATAACCCTGTATTGACCCGAGCAACACCATGTTTTATCCTTACAATAGTAGAGGAAAGCTATCTGTGAGCTGGTAGCTTTCCTCTACTATTGTAAGGGTAAAACATGGTGTTGTTCGGGTCAATACAGGGTTATCTGGATCCTCTCTCATATGATCCGGACAATAGTATGTTTTATCCTTACAATAGGACTGTATCAAAAAAAATATTAATGGGGTATCATGCTGATTTGTCACGCCCAAATATATTTAAATATGGAAGAACATTACAAATTTTCAATAAGATTGAAATCATGTATTCTTTTGTTTTATTTTTAGAACTTATTATTTAAAGATGTTCATAAGCCTGTCGGATGCATTAATGAAGTTTACATTAAGATCCGATTAGACTTCTTACAGGTACAAAAAAAAAACAAAATTAAATTTTAATATAAAAAAAAACCAAATATTATTTTTCTATAATCTTGAAGGCAAAACAAAAATAAATTATTAAAACATAATATTAATCCGAATAGTATTAATTTCTTTATCAAAGAAAATATTTCTCTAGGTATTTGACATTGTAAGAAATAGAAAATAAACAAAAGACCTATTTTGTGTATGTTGTCAATATTTGTAGCTATTTTTTCTTTCTTTGAAATATACCCAAATGATATCTTTGTCGAATATTTCTATTTGATTAATATGTACTAAGTTACTTGATTCAATAATATTTTATCTATCAGCATCTGTCACATATTAATATTGTCTATAAAAATATTCTAAAGGTCATTTATTCAATAGTTTTGTATAGAAACTGTTTTTGTGTACTAAAATATGCCCTTGATATTAGATAGATAAAGGTTATATAAGTAATATTTAGGAATAGTTTATATAATTAATTCATAACAAAGTCAAAAAAACAAACCATTAGTTAAATATAGTCTAAAAATAGATTTTGACATTATTAGATGAATTCTATTTTTAATTATTTTCTTTAATGAATATGAACTCTGAGAAAATGTCAACAAAAAAAATATTATTTAGTTCATTTATTTTTATTAACATTATCATTATATAGGAGACGTCCTGGATAATCTCATTGATTTATAAGCATTTCTTTTTTTCAATATAAAGACTGCTCATATATCTATCTTTAATAAGTAGATTTTATGGTCTGATTATTATTTTGTTTTATCATTTTAAAGAATTACATACCTAAATATAAATCGAAACATTGTTTTCATAAGAAGTTCAATCGATAAAATAGAAATAACGATTTAACAAATGATATATATATAGGGGTTACATGAATAAATTCATTTCCTACAAGATAATTCTTGATTTCTATTTAACTGCTATTTGTTAAAATAGTTCATAAGAAAGATTTATTGATGCATATCAAACGATCGGTCTACACCATATATGCAAACTTTTCCTTAATAACTTCCTTATTCTTTGTAGTGTTGATTGTTCTTTTCTCTTCTATACAAATAACTTCTTCAATACATTGTTACTGTGTCTTCATATCGCATGAATGAATCAACAGACATTTCTCCGAGCGGAAATTCTAATGAAAAAGGCTAGTAGATTGCATAGTTCTGATTGATGTGTTATATAGAACCATCTTGCATTAGAAATCATGCATAATAAAAAGTCATCTTTCTCTCCAACACACGAGATGAGACAGAGAGAGAGAGAGAGAAGAGAAAAACCAACGAGTAGAAACTGAGGACAAATTATTTGGTGTCAAAACATTTTTCTTTTTTTACTATGGCAGAACACATTGATACTAATCGACTTCATTTGGATCTTCATTATCGTTTTGATTATTTATCGAAATTTCTTAATTTTACATCGGATGATATAGCTATGCTTAATACATTTGCACCTATTGTTTTTCCTCTTATACCAGTTATATCTGATACTGTTTATAGAAAATTATTTTCATTTGATATAACAAAACAATATTTTCTTATACGTAATGAAGGTTTTGAAGGTTTTACATCTAAAAAACAATGTGGTGTTACATTAGATTCAGCTCAAATGGAACTTCGAAAAGATATGTTAAGTATGTATTTAAAACGTATATTAACACAACGTGATTGGAATGATACATTTCTTCAATATTTATCACAAATTGGAAAAATGCATACAAATCAAGCTGGTTCATCTTCGATTAATGTTGATTATATACATATAAATGCTTTACTTGGACATTTAGAACATTTACTTATTGATGTTTTATGTAATACTGATACTATAGATGAAAAAACAAAACGTGGAATATTAATGGCAATTAATAAATTTTTTTGGATACAAAATGATTTTTTTACAATGCATTATTTAATGGCAGTAAAAGATAATATAATACCAAAAAAATCATCAGAAACAAATAAAACAACAAAATGTTGTTGGATATAGGACCAAAAGAAAAAACAGAATCATTTATTTGAATGCATTTTTGAAAAATTATTTCATGTGTTGTGAATAAATAATGTAAATGACAAGATAATAAGAACAAGGCTTTTTCTTTTTTTTTTTATAAATATGTGTAAATTTAATTTTTGTCATCAAAAAAAAAAAAAACTTTTCCTTGATTAACAATTAATTTTTTTTTCATAGACTAATGAAACTAATGGTTTAAAATTAGATGTAAATGAATTAGAGAATTTCTTGGATATCAATGGTTACGTTTTTTTTTTTTCTTTTTTTTTTTGTTACGATCATAACAACTTGTTTGATTAGATATATGATTTATTTATTTTTTGTTTTTTTTTTTTTTTTTTTGGTTGTAAATATTACAAATAATTACCCATTCTGAATGAACTTTATATGCATCAATGAATAAGATAGTTCTATAAAAGTAACAAAAGAAATATGATAAATAAGACATTTTGAATTAGCAAACAGCAAGTAGAAAAGTGAACAAAAAAAAATGATAATTGAAATATTAATGCGTTTTTTTTCTTGAATAAGAATTTCTCATTAAAGAAAACGAACAAATAAAAAAGATTTGTTTGGTCGATTCCCTAGAGTGAATTAACTAAATCTATTTATATATTATTAATTATTTATTTACAGTTTTTTTGTTTTCAATCGAGAAAAAGATTTTGTTAAATAATCAAATCTTTTCGTTTGCTACAATTTAATATTCAAAAAAAAATTAATAAGAGAAAAACTTAATAATTTGTAATATTTACAATTGTACAAAAAGTTTCTAGCAGTTAAAAGAAAAATCAAAAAATCGAGTAATTTTTGTTTTTCTTACGTCTTTGTTTTTTAATATCCTGCTGAGAGCGGAACTGTCATGCAGTTTTTCTAAGACATGACATTTTATCTCGTAAGAAAATATTTGACTATGTCGACGCATACTGTTAAGAAATAATGATAGACTATGCACTCTAATTTCTTAATTAATCATATAAGTCATACTGTTCGAGTTTTGACACTCATGAACTTTATACTAAATATAAACGATGAAAAAGCGACAATTGTAATAAGAATTATACTAGATTAACAGGATATTAATGGAATTAATCATAATTAACACTATTGAGAAAAATATTATTTGATTGTAAAAAATTTCATAGTTGTAATTTTAACAATAGAAAGAACATCAGTTTCATTCATCATGTTTTTTGTTGTTTATTTTATAACTATAAAGTTGTAAAGACGAAATAGTGTTCATGTATTTTTCTGGAAAAAGTTTAATCTTCAATTGTGTTGTTTATTTAAAGGTTAGCGAGAATGATTTTTTTCTATCGATGACAAAAGCATCATTTAGAGAAAAAACTTTAGAACTTATTGAATAGTTGATTTTCAACATAAATTAGAACATGATGACCCTATTTTTATCGATAATTATGCACGTAGATATCGAGCATCATGGGATGTTTTGCATTTATAGATGAGTCTATTCTCAATATATTCTTCATCATTTGATACAGCAAAAATAATAATGTATTTTTTTTTCTTTCTATTAGTACAAGATACGGAAACATGTCTATTCAGGAATCTACTACTGTGATTTCAAGAAAAATAAATAAGTTACGTATTAATTGAAAGCTCGTTCATTTTTTTGCAGACGGAATTTTCTTTAACTGAAAAATCGTTCTTCAATTATTTTATCTTATGTGTTTCAAAATGACAACACAAAAAATCTTTTAATACTTAAAAAAGAAATGATTAGTATGGGATGGCATATGCGACTGAAGTCTATCGGGTCGGATCTGATCTCACGAGCGTTACTCTTAAAAGAAAGCCAATTAGAAGTTAATTCTTACAAGATAGCCATTCTGATTCTTTGAGAAATGTTGAGAATATGTTAGGCGGTGACTGTTGAGTGTAAATTAAAAAATTTCAAGAAATACCATGAGTACGATTTGGAACCGGGTTCTGATCCAAAAATTTTAGATCCTATAGGCTCTACGTATAACTTATATGACCTTATAGATCTAATAGTTTAATGTAAATAAAACATTCTTTTTCTCTACTGAAAAATAGATGATAAATACGTATGTGTCACCGCTCGCAAAAGATTAAAAGATAGAATTTTCTAAATTTACGTAATAATCTATTGCATAAAGATGAATAAATTTGTTACTTTGATGATTACTCGTCAAGTAAAAAAAAACACAATAGTCTCACGAAATGCCTCCATCTTTACAGTCAAGTCATATGTTTGAAGTTCACAACTACATAAGGATACATGAACTTCCGGCAGGAAAGCAAACCAACTCCTGGGAATATTCATTAGTAGGTTTAATGAATGAAAACATCTTCTAAAGACTATTGTACTTGACGACTAAGTATTAAAGTATCAAACTTGAATTTTTAAAACTTTGAAAAAATTTGAGAATTTTATAATTCATCATTTAAAAATTTCATTTTTTTAACAAGCTTTTATTTAATTTAAAAACATAATACGATACTTCGAAACAAACAGTTTTATACATTCTGCACAATATTTATATGAGCAAATAATAACATCATAAAATTAATATTAATTTATCTTCAAACAACTATTTTCATAATATATTTATTAGTATCAGAATATAAACCGGAATCTTGCCACTTAAAATTTTGATAATTACTTTAATTTCCGACAAATTTTTAACAACTCTTTTTTATTATTGAAATTTCGATGGGAAATTAGATAAATTATCGAAAATTATAGAATTTCATCGATATTCTCACTTCATTTCATCGAAATTTATCAATAAACCGTAATTTTGACAATAGCTTTCTTTCTATTGTCTAGATTCCGGCGGAAATTGAACATAAGTGCTAAAATTCAGGTAAAACAACTTCATACAAATGCTTTAGAACAATAAATAGATATTTGTTCCATTGTAAATAATAAAACTTTATCAAAAATAAAATTGAAATTTTGATGAAGTTTACTAAAAATAGAAATAATAATATTATTTTTATTAATGCTTTTTATGATTATAGATTTATTCTGATGACTTTAAATCTTATACCTAACACAGAACGAATTTTCAGAATATGATGACATAAATTCAACTCCGGTCAAACATATAATTAGAACAACATCCGGAATTGATTTTGTTTTGAGATGTTTTCTTTTGGAAGTTTATCATGAATTTTAATATTCATTTTGAAGTAAATTAGTAAGATTGTATTAATAAAGGTGGAGTGCGTGCCTAACTGAGCGTGAAAAGAAAAAGACAAAACTAAAATGAAAGAGTTAATTAAGATTGTAAAATGATTCTCATCTCTAATATGAGTTTTCTTTTGTTAAGTACGAACATGATATAGATAAATTCCAGGGTTTACATAAATTCATCAAAAAAAAAATTAATTTCAATAATACATTATAGATTTTACTGTGAAATTTCATTAACTACAAAATTTAATGTCATCTGAATAGATTTTCAGTTTTGTAAAGCATTCAAAAAAATATATATGATTCACGATATTGTTAAATAATGTTTTTTTTGAATACTTTTTGGTTTTGATGAAAAAAAAACTAAATAATATTGTAATTTCCTCGATTGTAGGGAGGGTCATATGAAATAAAATACGTTTGTCTGTCTGTTTGTGGCAGGTCAAAAAAACATTTTTTTTCGAAAATTTTTTTTTAATGCAGAAACAGACTTTTTTGAGAAAACTGCACTAATATTTTCTTAATGAGATATTTCGATAAGACTCTGATTTTTCAGCTGCAGAATGAAATTGAAGAAATCAGAAATAGTACACAAAGAAGCTTTGGTTTAGAAATCCCCGTCGAGAATTCTCATGCTATAGATCTAATGGTTTTTCGAATTAAGCCGAGTTTGGATTAGATGAAGTATGAATAAAAAAGGATGATGCTGCGGAGAAATAGAACGAAACATAGCAGCGACTAGCCGCTGCACTACAAAGTCCCTTAAAGAAATGCTTCAAGCTGCTGGCATTCATCAAATAGACATCAAGAGTCTAGGTCATACGGGTTTGAATAAGGAGTAGCAGTTACTAAGAACTGAGAAATATTTTGAAATGAAGTGTGAAAACGTCTTTTCTGCACGTGTGCGATATTTGAATAGTACATTTGAGGGAAAACATTATTTATAGAATTTATATTCGTTCTGTCGGAATGCTATTTGAATGAAAATAAACGTGGGTTTTCTTGGTGGGATGCTTTCTTGTTGATACTGATTCAAATGTCGAAATGTATATGAATATATTGAAATTACCTATATAATTTGATGGCTAATATGAGTAGGAGCTTCTTTCAAGTATGGCAGTCCGATTATAGACCAGACCTAATATGATTAATTGTAAGCTAGAAGTTCAAGTAAGCCCTATTTTGCTAGCGGACGCTCTAGTAAACAATATTGTCGGCAGATGTGTCAGCAAGCGAACGGATTTTTAGTAGAAATTTTAAGAAGTATGGCGCGTTTTCAAGAAAGTGTCGCGAATGAGCTTTGCTTCATTACCTCTCAGAAAGCTGAATATAAGCTCCTTTTTTGGATATATATGGATATCGTCGTCATAGTGTGGTTCCTTAGATTTATTGTTGAGTGTCAATATGAGAGTATCAATTTCATTGTATGTATTTGTGACAAAATGTTCATCCGGGCTCGCATACAATTATGCACAATGAGATTGACGTTAATGTCAGCGTACGCATACCTACCCACCCCTTTGGAACATCGAATACTAGCTATGTTAAAGACGGTAGATCGGAAGAAAAAATGGAAATGGCCGAATATGCAGTCGAGGGTCAAGCGAGTCACACAGACGAGGGTTACTTGTTATTAAAATGAGAAATTAACTGTTTAAATAAATTTTTTTCATTATAATATTATGCTTATATTGATAATTAGTTGACCTGGAATAATTTGTCGATTAGTGCTACTTGAATATGGTATTATATATATATAACTAATATTGTTGATACTCCTTAGATTACTTTTTGTTCAGGTTATTTCTCGATTATTCGGTGTATCAAATGATGCCGAGAGATTGAATACTAACATAAAATTAATTAGTTAGAAATGATAAAGTCAAGGCTAACAGAGTTTATGAGTACTAAATTTTCAAATCTTATCGTCTCTTGTTTGAGAATTGAAAACAAAAGACTTGATTATGATGAAACTCAATTGAATTTAAAAGTAATCGATTCTTATTATTATGAAAATAGTTGAATAGATATGTAGAGTAGATGAGAGTCATGTATTTTGAATATATATCAAAACATACTATGAAAATATTTTATATATGAATGAAACTGTTTGAAGAAAGAAATATTGTAATTTAATATGGAATAATACGAATTGATTTTTATTAATATGTATCGGATAATTGTATTCATATCATTGATTAAAAATAGACTTTCTGGTAATAAGATGTTTAAATAGAAATCTCTATTTGATGTAGAGAATTATTTGAATTAAATAAACATATCATGCTTTATGATTTTGAGAATTTTATTAAATAAATTCAGTTGAATAAATAATTTATTTCTGTCAGATTAAATAAGATTAGAATATTTTATTTTGTTTTCATAAATAAGAATTTCTATTTATAAATTTTTTGTTTTTGAAAAAAATAATCTTTGTCAAAAGGAAAACAATGGAAGTTTACATGTCCTATGTAAATGTTTGTTTGACACGTTAACGTGATCTTTTATTTCTTCTAGGTACTTTTTTTTTTTTTACTATTGTCAAGAACTAGATACGTTGTATGTCACTAGAATGTCATTTAATGAATACTTTGATCAAATAGTATGCTATTGTTTCATCATTGTATAGCATGTATTTTAATAGAATTTCATGAATTTTCTTAACAAATCTTGACTTCTGCTATTTTTTAGTATTTTTCCTATTTAATTACATAATTCGAAAGGTATAATTCTATGAATCACAAATATTCTTTTAATTGCATATATTTTACCAAACAGAAGTCTATAATTGGTAAAAATTTAACATAAAAAAAAATTCTTAATCAATATTAATAAGATAAAATTTTATATCTTAATTTTTCAATAATATTTTTCTCATACATTTAGTAATAAGCAGGGTTAGAACCGGCCGGACCGGTTGAAGAAATCAACCGGGACGGTAAAGACCGGAATTTCACCGGTTGAAATTTTTCAAAAATCTTCTTTGTTAATCCTGTCTTTGACCATAAAAACTAAGGTATCACATGTTTTTTCTGTCAGAATAGGTAAAAAAGTGCTCAAAACATATGTTATATTAATCGTTTTTCCTGAGGTTCTCTTTAAAAAGATTCATTATGATGAGCGTCTTTTACATGCGCCTTAAACTATTTCATATTTGGAGCGATTTTTTCTAAAAATCGGTTTTCAAAAAAAAATTCGACATTTTTCCACCGGTTTTTAACCGGTTTTCACCGGTTGGACATGTGATTCCAACCGGCTGGACCGGACCGGTAGGATTTTTCAACCGGCCGGACCGGACCGTTTTAATATTTCTCAACCGATTCCACCCCTGGTAATAAGAATTAAAAGAATATTTATCTATTTATTCATATCAAAAATATAACAAGTTTAATTCGAAAGTTTGAATAATATTTAGATTATCATCTTTTATATATGATTAATATAAGATTCATAAGGTAATCTAAGAATATTACTTGTTTAGATCCATATAATAGTTAGAACTTTGCAAATTTCTAAATGTATATAGAAAAAATTAATATTTAAATCAATTATTTCTGATAGGCATATGAAAGAATTCTCAAGCATTAACATTTAAGTATTTTCAATAAAAAAAAAAATAAAATAAAATATTCGTACATAAATATATGAAGTATATACAAAGTAGCATATTTGCAAATATGAATATAGTAATCTTGAATGCACTAACACATTTGTTATATCATAACAATTTCTGTATCAACGTACGAGTTTATCATACGATTAGAAACATAATTTTTCAGATGCTTTATTGCAATCTAAATTAACACAATTTTTTTTTTATCAAACGTGTTTTTATATTTGATGTACAGCTCATCATAATATATTTAGACTAATATAAAATCCTTTGTTTCTTTAGTTTTAGAGATTGAATAAGTATAAAAATACTTTGGTACGTGTTACTCTACATTCTGACATTGTTTCCATTACTAATGAATCTTAATTTACATAGACAATTAATTTCAAGAAAAAAAAAAAACAGATTCTTATCTATAAATGTTATGACCGTTATTTATCATATAAGATAATAATAAAATTATTTGTCTATGGAAAAAAAAAATTATTTTTAGTTGCATAAATTCTTTTTTTTTTTTCGGTTTTCTCTATTCATAAATAATTAAATTTAGCTTCATTATCTTTTAGTTAACAATATTTCTTTTGTAATAATATGCGTAAGAGACTATGTAATGAATATCTTAAAAAAATATTTCTATAGTTATCCATAATTGAATTCTTTTGTAAATTCTACTTGAATTATTTTGTTATTCAAATCTTTGCATAACTTACTACAGAGTAGAACAATTTATTTCTTAACTTATGAATGTTTCATTTGATTTGAGAAAAAAAAATTTGTTTCGACAAGATCTAACGATTGTTATCAATATTTATGATTTTTTTTTTTCATTAACAAAAAACAGATAGATAAATATTTAAAAACTGTTGATAGAATATTATCAAGTATAATCAATTTTGTTTTATACTATGCAAAATAATTGAAACTTTTATTTGAATATTATTGTTTTAAAAAAAAAAGTCTAAATTAAAATGCGTAGTTTATGAAGCTTTTTTTTTCTCACCCCCAAAAAAATACTCAAATAAACATTTTACTTTAATTAGATATTTCTATTTAAAAAAAAAGAATAACTTAAGTTCTAGCATTTATAATCATGCCAAGAAAAAAAAAATAATCTTCTTTCAAACTCGACGAATTTCAGCTAAAAAACAGTTTATGTCATCTTTTTTTTTCCTTATTATAAGTGTTGAAACAAAAAAGAAGAAAACGAACAGCTTATTATTAGCACACAAATATCTATATAAACCCGACAACAAGAAGAATAGAATGTCAGGCAATGAACGACATTCTTATAGTTTAGTAGGCAGACTATCTTAATCTACGAAGAAAAAAAAAAAAGAAAGAATATAGTTAAAGAAAAACGACGGAAAAAATGAAAGACAGATTGTATTACAATATTTGCATATATTGTATCATGATGACTGAACATGTCGACATCAATCGTGTCAATAATGATCTTCGTTATCGTTTTGAATATCTATCAAAATTTCTTAATTTTACATCGGATGATATAGCTATGCTTAATACATTTGCACCCGTTGCTTTTCCACTTATACCAGTTATCTCTGATACTGTTTATAGAAAATTATTTTCATTTGATATAACAAAACAATATTTTATTTTACGTCATGAAGGTTTTTCACGTAAAAATCAATGTGGAATAACATTAAATTCAGTTCAAATGGAACTTCGAAAAGATATGTTAAGTGTATATTTAAAACGTGTATTTACACAATGTGATTGGAATGATACATTTCTTCAATATTTATCACAAATTGGAAAAATGCATACAGATCAAATTAATTCAGCATCAATTAATGTTGATTATATACATATAAATAGTTTACTTGGATATTTGGAAAATTTACTTATTGATGTTATATTTAATACTGATTCAATTGATGAAAAAACAAAATGTGGAATTATTATGGCAATAAATAAATTTTTTTGGATACAAAATGATTTTTTTACAATGCATTATTTAAGATCGGCAAAAGATAAAACAACATCAGGAAAACTATCAGAAACAAATAAAACATCAAAATGTTGTTGGATTTCATAAAAAAACAAATATTTAAATATTCTTTTTTTTTTTTTTTCTTTTCTTATTGATTTTAATTACATATAGTTATTATATGTGTGTTTTGTGGATAAATAAATACAATTAGACAAAAAACAAAAAAAAAGTACTTTTGCTGTAAATAGAAATATTTTCACATTATAAATAAAAACCTTCTGTTTTATAAATAGTTTTTTTTTAGTTTTCTAGAAATAGCTATCCTATAGATCAAAGGTTGATAATGTAAATAAAGAAAGTAGAAGAATTTATGGTAAAGGTTGAAAAGCATTTTTTTAATAAATAATAATCAAAGTGTTTTATTATTAGAACGATTGTCTAAGTATTGATGCAACAGATGTATTTAAGCATTTTTTAGATATCGATTATTCTATTGAATAAATGTGCAAATACTAACCGAATGATTGTTTCTTTATTCTTTTTTTATTTAGTTTTTTTTTACCGATATTCATTATTTCAATCCGTAGAAATATTATAGAAGTTGCAAAAATTGATTCATCAGAGATTTACAATACAACCGGAAATATCGGGAACAGTGGAAAAAGAAATAGTAAAATAGAACAAAAAAAAAAAATAATAATAATATCTTTTCTCGATTTATAAATAGAAGTTTTTTTCTTATGAGATTTTATCAAATAAATGAAATATGTCAATTTTTATTAATGAAAAAAAATATTATAAACATGACGATTTTTATAGATTTACAGTTTTTATCTTTTGTAATCAAAATTATTTATCATTGATTAATTATATTTACTATTGAATGGTTTCGATAAGAAAAAAATAAAGATCATTTTTTTTTGCTTTTCGTATTGATTATAAACTAGATATTATATTGATTTAACAATTAGAAATTGTTTTTTTGTATAAAATATTCTAATCAATAGAAACCTTAAAAGAACTTTTGTTCATTTGTATACTTTAACATTTTTGATCATTGAGATTCTAAAAGAGACATTAAAACTTCGAAATAGATTACAAACTATGTATTGTAAAAATTCGGCATGCAAAAAATGTGAATATGTCCTAAATAACTTGCGTTATTTTATATAGATATTTTATTCAATATTATAATGAATATTTCAAAAATAATAGATCTTTATAAATTTTAATAATATCGTTGATTTAGACTTTTATCAATTAATTGAAATAGCTAATACTTTCAAGATTTTAAATTGAACTATTAGATAATTGATATTAATCATCAATATAATAGAAAAGAAGTTGAATTGAATTCATTATTGTGGTAATTTATGTATATGAGCTCGGGTATTGTTCTACTAGAATGTTTCAGACTTTAACAAAAATCTCATTTCTTTCCTTAAATATTGTGAAAAGAATATAATAAATTCATTAAGCCTAGTATAATGTTCCTTGATAAAAGAAAAAAAATATCTTGGAATCGAAGTGTATAGAGTTAAGTTGACCAGTAAAAAAAATCTCATACCCATAAATTAACACCCTTCCGAAATAAGAAATGAATTACAACGATTTATATTTTCACAAATAGCATGAATTTTTGCTTTTTTTCTGTTCTTTTTGAAAATATCACGTAACTCTGTCGATTTGTTACTGTTCTATCGATAAAATAAAAATATTTCATGTTTTCTCAAGTCATTGACTATTTTCAAAATTTTCATTTGTAAAAATGATCAATCTTACTTAATAGCATTAAAAAAAGTTAAATTTTCACTAGAAAACATGCCATGAAAAATATGAATTAATGGTAGTGTAGATTTTCAGCTACTTGAGTCTCCTATAGACTCAGATGAAATAATTTACTTGGAATTTTCGTAAAAGTTCATACTACTTCATACAATTATAAAATGACCAGTAGTTCGTAGAATATTAAAATTAACAATTTGTGTTGCAAAAAAGCAGAACGCGACATTCTTCTTGTCATTATATATTCTGTTTTTGGTGAATCAAAACGTATAAGTCTATAGGGTTTTTTATTTTCAATTGAATTTTGGAAAAAAATAGTGTTCGATTTTTTTAATGACGATGGTTTAAGGATCTGATGGAACAAGCCATCTTTGGGATAGAAGACACGCAAAGAAGTCCTTACTATGCATAGAACACCCAATCACATGCAGATTTTTCATCCCAATTTTTTATAACGCGTCTTCTCATAAATCTTGAGCGTTATCTAGTGTTATATTTTACTATATAGATACTCTTTTTGGATGGGAAGAATTAGGAAGTCTTCATAATTATTCATATGACTATAAATGTATATGTTCACCTGGTTTTTTAACACAGGTATTCAGATTTATAATCATATGAATAATATATAGGCAAAGTTGCCACCCGATTTGAGTAATTTTACATCCTCTTCTTTGTGTTTCAAGTAAGATTCGACAGTCTCCATCTACTAACACTGACGAGGAAACCGCCCGAAGTGATTCAAAGCTTTTAAGCTGATATTTTACCGATAAGTAGAATCCAATGAGACTAGGAAAAGTCCAAAAAGACAAGGGCCCACGAGCCTTCCTTCTCGAGTTATGGTCATTTTACTGGGTTTATCACCTATGATACGATATTCATCGGAAATTCGAATTAAGAAGTTTCGACCTGAAATTTTGCCCACATGTAGGTCTTGTGGTTCGTATATTAGCCTGAAAGTTTAAGCCAAAATGAAAGCGCCATTCTCGAGATATTGCAATCTCAAGAAAACAGTACCATGTTGCATACATACTAAAAGAATCGACTTTTCTTGAAAACTTAATATTTCGAGAACAGTGCATTCGTTTCAGCTGAAACTTTTAGGCTAATATACTAACCGCAAGACCTACATGTGGGCAAAATTTCAGATCGAAACTTCTTAATTTGATTTTTCGATGAATATCGTATCATAGGTGATAAACCCAGTAAAATGACCATAACTCGAGAAGGAAGGCTCATGGACCCTTGTCCTTTTGGGCTTTTTCTAGTCTCATTGGATTCTACTTATCGGCAAAATATCGACTTAAAAGCTTTGAATCACTTCGGACGGTTCCCTCGTGAGTAACAGACCTAAAACATATCCTGAGCGAATCGATGATAAAACTACTCGAAGAAGATGCTGACCTCACCTATATATCAATAATTCTAAGAATCCTAGACTTTCATTTCTATTTGCAACCGAGTGTCTGTGTTTTTCCTTCTAAATTCAAATTGAAATCAAATAACTTATTGTATGATGTACAAGAACAAATATACATATGCACCACTGAATGACGTAAATGAATTACAAAATAATTCAAAAACACTGAATTACAAAATAATTCACTTTCTATTAGTTTCTACCAAGGTTTACCAGGGTCTACCAGGGTCTACTAGAGTCTCGATGTGGGTGCTGCGAAACAACATACATCACATCTCTCTCGTTGTGGGTGCCGCGAAACGACTTACATCACGTCTCTCTCGATGTGGGTACCGCGAAACCCTGATAGACCCTAGTAGACCCTGGTAGACTCTAGACCCTGGTAGACCCTGGTAGACCCTAGCAGACCCTGGTAGACCCTAGTAGACCCTGGTAGACCCTAGTAGACCCTGGTAGACCCTAGTAGACCCTGGTAGACCCTGGTAGACCCTGGTAGACCCTGGTAGACCCTAGACCCTGGTAGACCCTAGACCCTGGTAGACCCTTGACCCTGGTAGACCCTGGTAGAAACTAATAGGAAGTGAATTATTTTGTAATTCAGTGTTTTTGAATTATTTTGTAATTCATTTACGTCATGGTCTCATATGCACTTAAAATTCACTCATCTAAAATCTTATACAAATAATTTGACGATTCAAAAAAAAGTAGAATAAAAATATTAAAATAATTTTAAGTTTTTATTGAAAAATCGAACTGATATAATGAAAGTAATGCAATGATTTTAATTTTATTTTTTGAAAAGATGAAATCTATCGCATGAAAATAATCGAATAAGTTCGATTTTATTGGAAATAATGAAAATGATGAAATTTTTGGAAATAATCATTTAAATGAATGTTGTTGCATTTTTTTTTATTCCATCGATAGTTTCATAATAAAAAAGAAAACTACTGATAATTGCGATTAATCAGTGTCTTGTCGAATATTTCATCAATCATTATTAATCGGTGATTTTGAAACTGACTTCAGCAAGAAGTATTCATTTGTAAAAAAGAATTTTTTTCCTTTTATTTACGTTAATATTAATATCAACATAAACAGTATATATTTATATAGAGAACCATTGTTTTTAATTATTTACAGCACATAGAAAAGAGTAAAATCATCTCGAACTTTATTCATGAGAAATTTTTATGGATACAATGATAAAATATGGTCATGTACATGTCGAGACATAATCACAGTTTTAAAGCCAATCATTATACAGCTAGACTCAATCATCGTAAATATTTACATAGAAAATTATGATTTTCTGTAAAAGTTAGAAACACAAAAAAAACAAAGATACACTTTGTTAAGTAATTCAAACACAATGGAAATTGTCTCAAAATATGATTATGAGTAAAACTGTTAGTCTATATTATGTAATTCATGTTAAACTGATCTAGATTTATGAAAAATATATTTGTTTAAATATAAATATATCAAAATAATGAATTTATTTTGTTTCTCAAGATTAAAATTTAGTATTAGTTGTATAAGATTAACAAAAAAATATTATTTAAGCTACATCATAATTTATTTATTACAAAAAGAAA